CTATCTATCTAATAATTTTAGGTAATCAAACTGATGCTTAAATTTATACAAGAATTGAAATATTGCCTTAGCAACTAACAGAAATAAAATAAGTTGAAGTACTATAATGACTAAAAACGATATAAAAATAAATGATAGGTAAATAGATATATTTGGGGAAAACAATAATAAAAATGACAAAAGCAAATTAAAATGAAAACTGAAAATATAAAACTAAAAGCTAATTCAGAATATGAATAAATGCAATAATAGTATATAAATAATACTGCTAAATGAATACATGTAAAATATAAATGTACTAAAATAACACTGGACTGATTGTGTTTTACTTGATCATGTGAGGCACGGTGACTTTGGAGTTGTCCTCAAACACGCTGGTCATCAAGCCATTGCAGCGAATGTTGTCAATGCACTGTGTAGAAAACATAAAAATGGAGACAAATACAACAGAATAGAATAACTTCACTCTCACGTACTAGCAACTGTCATAGGAGTCAAAATGAACAAATTACGGGAGCAGAAAACAATCGTTATCTCTTATCTGTGAAAGCCGATCATATTAGGGCTTATTTTTCCTATTCAAACTATTTTGAATTAAACAGTTCTTCTGAAGCATGTAAAATTGTAGACAAATAAATAGATCTAATATTAACCCAAATTTGTATACTGGTTCATGTCTATAGGGCAAAGTGTATAACAGACAGCTCTTGCTAAATATACTATGCAAAAACTCTCAAGTCAGAAACTATTTGTGTCAATGCAAATATAATGGAAACTTCTCACTCGTGTTGCTTTCTAGCTAGAAAACAACACCCTGCTGTGTGTAAACTGGGTTTGACTGAATCTCTGTATTCTCCACTTCAATTAATACAAATTTATATGTTTCTTATGAGTTGTAATATTCTTAGATCATTATCTGCAGCTTGTTCTATAGATGTACATATTGTGAAAGGTCTAAAAAAGAGTGTTAAAGTAATGATGAAATGGAAGAAGCAACAGATCTTTTCTTCCGTATTGTGACGTACATCCGAATGTAACAGATTATTTAAAAAAAAAGTTAAATGTAGGGTGGGGTCGCATGGCTCTTGCTGATTGGATGTTGAGATGTGGGCGTGGCAGATGAAAGCAAGCATGCAGGGGCGGAGTTTAAACGCACTAAATGATTGGAGAAATCCTGCATACATCACCAGAGAGAAGTCTGTCATTTTCACAAAAGGTCTACTTTATGATATTTTGATTAAAGTTTTTTTTATTTATGTCATTAATTCCTCACCTTCATGTCGTTTCAAACCCGTAAGACCTTCATTGATCTTCAGAACACAAATGAAGACCTTTTCGATGAAATCTGAGAGATTTCTGTCCCTCCATTGATAGCCTAAGCAACTACCACTTTCAAGGCCCAGAAAGGTAGTAAAGACATCATTAAAGTAATCTATGCGACTACAGTGGTTTAACCTCAATTATATAAAAGCGACATGGGGGAAAAACATAAATCATTTAAGAGAAAAAACCTTTTTGGGCCTTTAAAGTGGTAGTTGTGTAGCTGTCAATAGAGGGACAGAAAGCTCTCAGATTTCATCAAAAAGATCCAAAGATGAACGAAAGTCTTACAGGTTTGGAACGACACGAGGGTGAGTAATTAATGACAGAATTTACATTTTTGGGTGAAATCAAATTGGACAATTCTTATTTTTTTATGAAATACTGCATTTTACTATAAAAAATGTATACGTATACAAATTCTTGTGCCTCGTAATCTTTAATCAAAATAACATCTCTTCTCTGCCCTACATTTGCTCTTGTTCCAGAAGCCGTTTTACTTGTATAGGCGTCACAATAGGGAAGAAAAGTCTATCGCAACTTCCGTTCCAAGTCTACTTTAAACATTACGAGGTTGAAGAATAATGACACACGGATGCACGGATGAATGGTTCACAATAAGAACTATAACATGCATTGCATACGGACGTCCAGCATGTAGCGTGTAGACTGTACCTGGCTCACGTCACTGGTCCAGGCAGCTTTCTCCTGCCGAGACGGAGCCAGCAGAACCACAGAAAACGTCGGACCATCGGCCGGTTCAACCACTATTTTAAACTCCAGACGATTGAATCCCTGACCGGCAGCATTATCTGAGGAGATACGGAATCAAAATGAACTCTAGTTACTTCTTTAATAAATGTGCTCATTGCTATAAGGTTTATCTTGGATATTTTGCTTGCTTCGGGTTGTTGGTATTGCTATGATTTATATTAAGATCTGACGTCACACTTACAGTCTTCATCACTGGCGTCCAGCTCCTCGATAAGCGTACACTCTATCAGAGACACCGTGCCTCCTTGCTGTGGTTTAGAGGAAAGGTACTCAGTTATTTTATGCATTTGCATTGAACGGTTACAGTCAGGGCTTGACATTAACACCCGGGTGTATTTCAGCAGTGGCGTGTTACTCCTACTGGCCATTTTGGCGGGTTGAATTTTACATATAATATATACAGTTTTCAATTGTAGTCTTTTAAGGCATCTAAAAGGATAAACTAAGTGAAATCTAGTGTTGTTAAAAAAATCGATTTCTCGATACATATCGATACTGAAATATCTGAAACACTTCAAATACTCAGTTTCCGCAGAATAGACACACAATAACAGCTGCTCTCTCTCTCTCTCTCTCTCTCTCTCTCTCTCTCTCTCCGTCAGTGAGTGACACACAAACCCGCCTCTCTTCACTCACTCGTTTAATTTGCTCCGGATGAATATTGTTGGTGTTACAGGGCTTTCATTTTTAGCGTGGGATTGAGCGTGTTGTGCATATTTGTACTCATTCCCGCAGATGTTGTCCTCACACCCAAAGTGCGTTCACATAAAGTCGTCTCTCAGTGCTAAATTGAGTGCTTTTTCGCGGCTTATTACGCTTAAACTGTCAAACACACACAAAATAATGTCAAAATGCTGGTCTTGGCAGGTATTCATGTAAACACAGTCAGTCATGTTTTAAGTGAACGTAAACAGTTGAGAAAGAAAACGCATGTGTAATGGTGCGTTCACACCGGACGCGAATAGGGCGTCAGGCGCGAGTGATTTCAATGTTAAGTCAATGCTAAGACGCGTTACGCACGTAAAAAATTCCTGCGGCGCGAATGAGGCGTAGAGCGCGGCGTGGTAGACGCGAATATGCCTCATTCGCGCGTCAAGTTCGCGCGAATGGCGCAAATTTAGCATCTGGCGCGTTAAGCGCGTATGTTTTAAGTAGTGCTTTTTGTGCATTCTCGCGTTTGACGCGAATTCGCGTCTGCCGCCCGAGTTGAAAAATCAGAACTTCTGCGTCAGTTCGCGCCGCGTTAACCAATCAGGAGCCTGCTTGCTGCTGTCACGTGGTGAAGTGACAGTTTATAATGTTATTTTATGTTTGGCCTCAATAAATTATTTTGTAATATGACAAAAATGCTTGGTGTGCAAAGCAAATCTTTCACATAAAAACTCGATTTCAATATATGAGAGATACTCATTTTGTATTGAATGCTATTTATTCCATATCTAGATTATATGAAACATTATTATTCTAATGTAAAGACAACAAACACAATTTAGTGTATAAAAACTTTTTTTTTAAATCACAGGACAGGTTTCACTTTTGGAGGCTGGCTCCATTTATTATCAAAACAAAAATAAATGACAGATTAGGTGGGTGCGGGCGAGGGTGAACCTCGCGCCGGGCTGTAGAGCGCTGGCTCGACGGGCATTGACCACTCGAGGCCGAGGCCTTATACGGCCTACGCTGTCCTCGTCAGCGTCCTCACCGTTAGGTCCACCAAACCTAGCTCCTGGAGCAAATTGTGAAACTCCTGAAACCCTCCGGAGGGTCTGGTGGACCCGAGTACAGCGACAATGTCCCCTACGCAGCTGTTCTCTTTCATAGGTTCACTCAACGCTGCGGAAAGCGCAGTGGGATATTCTCTGAATGTGCCGATTGTCTGAAGCCTTATAGAATCACGCCAATTCATTGGCTGATGGCGTCCGCGCGATTTGGCTCCGCCCCGACGCTCTTACGTCGCATCATTACATATTCGCGCGTGCGCCATCTGCTCCTCAGATTTCTCTACCTTCAGAACGAAGCGGTCACGTTGCCCTTCGCTCGTGATTTTTCTGAGCTACATCTAAGGATTATTCTCGGCACTTCTGCGACTGTTCAAGCGGAACTCTGTTTCTCCTTACGGTGAAGTTGCCATGGATTACAGACGCTGTACGCCGCCATGTGCTCGTTACATCGCTAACGACGACCCACACAGTAAGTGCGTTAAGTGTTTGGGTTTTTCACATGCACGTGAGGCAGTTATAGGATCGTCTAAATGCAAATTCTGTTCAAATTTGTTGCTCAAAACCCTCAAATCGCGGCTCACGGTCTTTGAGAGGGAATCATTCGTCTCCCCCTGTCGCGCTCCCGAGGCCTCTCGAGGATCCGCGACATGGGGTTCGGATGTAGAGCTTGAGGATGTGGAGTTCGAGCAGACGAGCCCCGCTCTTTCTCTCCCTCCCTCCCCTCGGCACGCACGAGGCATGCCAGTCGAATTTTCACACGATTATTTGCGCCCCAGCCCGGGAGCACGCGACGCGGTTTCTTTCGGGCTGGAGGATATACTTTTTACCGAGGCTTCCGACTCCAAGGATTTCGGGCCTACCCTCGCCGACGAGGTTATCCCGCCGAGCGGCCAGGAAGCGCGGCCTACTGCGGCCTACGCGGAGCTCGTTGACGTGCTTTCGCGCGCTACGGAGAAGCTCACTATTGATTGGCCCGACGAGCCACGTGAGTCTCAGTCGTCGAAACTCGACGAAAGGCTTCTCAGTGGCCCTAATTCTAGGCCTCAACGGAGGAAGCTGCCATTTTTCAGTGATCTGCATCATGAGATCTCCAGATCCTGGAAGCAGCCTTTCTCTTCGCGCCTCACTAATGCGGCTGCTGCTGATTTTACCAACCTGGTAGGCTCTGTGGAACAAGGCTATTCCGCCATTCCGGCGATTGAGGAAACTTTAGCCGACCATCTTGCTCCGTCGTCTGCGCCGTCCTGGAAGTCGCGCCCCCTCCTCCCTTCTAAAGCATGTAGGACTAGTTCTTCTCTCATTGGGAAATCTTACATGGCGGCTGGACAGGCAGGCATGACCCTGCACACTATGGCCATTCTTCAGGCCTACCAGGCGGACGTCCTGAAGGAAATGGACGAGGGCGACGGCGTGACTCCTGAAGCGGTCAAGGAGCTTCGTAAGGCTACGGATTTAGCCTTAAGAGCCACCAAGCATACCGCACGCGCTATAGGTCGCTCTATGGCTGGTTCTGTTGCGGTGGAGCGCCACTTGTGGCTTACTCTCACGGAGATCCGTGACAAAGAGAAGGTTTTCCTCTTGGACGCCCCCATTTCTCAAACAGGGTTGTTTGGTGAGGCGGTCAACACAGTGGTTGAGAAATTCCGCTCCTCCAAATCCCAATCGGCTGCGTTCAGACAGTTCATGCCCAGGAGGGCTAGGGAACCTTCTGCACCTACCACGGTTTGGGGAGCCCGCGGTTGAGTCGACAAACCGACTGCTCCGGCGGCCCAGAGCCGTTCCTGACCTTCCGGTCAGAAAAAGGAGAGCTCCTCTGCTTCCTCAAGGTTGGGTCAGACCGCACAAGCGTTTCTGCCCACCTCCCAGCTCTCCTTTCCTCGCCCTGTCACCTTCGCCACTCAGAGTGTCTCGAAGTGCAGGTCATATTTCACCTTCTCTACTCAGTCCGGTGCGGGAGGAAGAAGACGCTTTCTGCTTTCTCCCCTCACCCCCCACACTCTCTATAACTGCCGGCCGCATCCTCGGAGGCACTTTCCGTTTTCCTCCGGAGCAGGCGGATCTGGTCACCATGACCCCAGCATCGATGCCTCCCATCACGTGCCAGGACGCCGATGGCCCTCCTGCACAGTCAACCTCTTTACTCCAGGAGCGTCAGCACGGCACCCTCACTCAGGTATGTCGTCTGCATTACAACATCCCTCCTCCTCTATCACATTTCCTTCCAGAGTGGGAGCGCTTACCAGGGGTATCGTCTTGGGTTCTTCGCACAATTCGGTTCGGCTACACTCTTCAGTTTTGCTGCAATCCCCCCTGTTTCAACGGGGTGTTTCCTACTGTAGTAGACAGCGCCACTCAGGCTTCTGTACTTCAGCGGGAAATCTCTTCCCTCCTTCTCAAAGGAGCAATAGAGGAGATTACTCCAGGGGAAACCGAGCGGGGCTTTTACAGCCGTTACTTCCTGGTCCCGAAGAAGGGCGGCGGTTTGCGTCCCATACTGGACCTCCGCCGACTGAACTTCGCCCTTTACAAAGGGAAATTCAAGATGTTGACGCTGAAAGCTATCATATCTCAGATTCGGCCAGGGGATTGGTTCGTGACGATAGACCTAAAGGATGCTTATTTTCACATCCAGGTTGTACAGCGACACAGGCAGTTCCTCAGGTTCGCCGTTGGAGAAAGGGCGTTCCAGTACAGGGTCCTTCCCTTCGGCCTATCTCTGGCCCCGAGGACATTCACAAAGTGCATGGATGCAGCTCTGGCCCCATTGCGGCTCCAGGGCATCCGTGTTCTAAATTACCTGGACGATTGGCTTATTTTAGCCCAGTCCAGGAAGCTAGTGGCCCACCACAGAGACATCGTTCTGAGTCATATCCAGTCTCTCAGTTTGAGGTTGAACTCGGAGAAGAGTGTTCTTGCTCCGGCTCAAAGCACTGTTTTCTTGGGGGTGAACATGGATTCCGTTCTCATGCAGGCCCGCTTGGCCCCTGCACGGATTTCCAGCTTGATGACATGCTTGGCTCGTTTTTTGCTAGGCCATCATGTGTCTGTGGGCACCTGCCACACCTCCCAACTGACGTTCAGGAGACCATTGCGAGTGCTAGAGCCCCTTCTACAAGGAGATTATATTCTTCCAAATGGAGGGTGTTTGAGACTTGGTGCTTAGCACATGATAGGAGCCCAGTTAACTGCCCTGCTGGTTCAGTACTGGAATTCCTGCAGGAGAAGTTTGCTGCTGGAGCAGCCGCTACCACTCTCAGAGTTTATGTCGCGGCTATTGCAGCGCATAGGGAATCGGATGAGATTCCCCTGGGCAAATTAAGGTTAGTTTCTGCCTTCATGCGTGGGGTGAAGAGCCTGAAACCGGCTCGCTCCCCTAGAGTTCCCTCATGGGATCTTTCTGTTGTCCTAGAGGGTTTGACGAAAGCCCCCTTTGAGCCCTTGGAGTCAGCTCCGGAGAGGATTCTGACTCTCAAGGTTTCTCTTTTGTTAGCTTTGTCCTCATTAAAGCGGGTGGGAGACTTACAAGCTCTTTCTGTTAGCGAGTCTTGCTTGGACTTTGCCCCTGGCCTAGTCAAAGTTTCCTTGAGGCCGAGACCAGGGTATGTCCCCAAGGTTCTTTCCTCAACTTTCCGCTCACAGGTAGTTAACCTTAACGCTTTCCACCCTCCTCAATTTTCGTCTGAGGAAGATAGGAAGCTTAACTTGCTCTGCCCAGTTCGTTCACTTAAGATATATGTAGACCGCTCAGGCGGTTGGAGGAAATCTAACCAGCTTCTGGTTTGCTTCGGTGCTAGCCGCCGTGGGCTTGCTGCATCAAAGCAGAGGATTTCTCACTGGGTCACAGAGGCTATCTCGTTGGCTTACGGGGTGCGTGGCTTGCCTTCACCTCTTAGCATTAAAGCACATTCCACCAGAAGTGTAGCATCTTCTCAAGCTCTTTTCAGAGGAGCACTTTTGGAGGATATTTGTGTTGCGGCAGGCTGGTCCTCTCCGCACACTTTTGTAAGGTTCTATAGCTTGGATCTTGACATGACCCCGGGTTCCCAGGTTCTTTCTGTTTGAACTCATTTCGGTCGTTGTCTCTTTTATCTACCAGTTATGAAAGCGCTCTAGCTTGGCGAGTTTGGTAGTCCGTTCCCACTGCGCTTTCCGCAGCGTTGAGTGAACCTATGAAAGAGAACGTCTCTGGTTACTTGTGTAACCTATGTTCTCTGAATAGGGAACGAGACGCTGCGTTAGCGGCCAAGCTCCTCGCGCTGCTGACAGTTTCTTTTCGGCAGAGAAATCTGAGGAGCAGATGGCGCGCGCGTGAATATGTAATGATGCGACGTAAGAGCATCGGGGCGGAGCCAAATCGCGCGGACGCCATCAGCCAATGAATTGGCGTGATTCTATAAGGCTTCAGACAATCGGCACATTCAGAGAATATCCCACTGCGCTTTCCCGCAGCGTCTCGTTCCCTATTCAGAGAACATAGGTTACGCAAGTATTCAGAGACGTTTCTGCTCTCCAGAGCATATACGAGCGGTGACTCTCTCGAATAATGCTAATGCTAATGCTTGATAAACATCTAAAAAGATGGCCGCCAACGGGTTTCAAAACTTTCGCCTCCGGATTTCGCCTCTGACACGCGTAAATTTCGCTTCAAACTTTTGTTTTTATCCGCGTCAATTTCTCCATTGACACGCGAATTAACACAAAGTGGTCAAGCGTATAACTAGACGCGTCAGGCGCGATTTTTTTTTTTTTTTTTTGAAGTGCAAAGGTTTTTAATAAATGTTTTTTAACAAAGGTCTTTTAAGTCCAAAGAAACAAAACCACAAAATAAATATAAACATAACCAGAAACCAGGAACACAGAGGGAAACATCCAAGGACAAATCCAAAACAGGGGTTACAACAACAAGCAACAAGGGAAAACAACTCGTCACCTTTTTTTTTTTTTTTTTTTTTTTACAGTCAAACATACATACAAACCAACATAGTGCAGCAGTGAGCAATCTTGTAAATCCATAATTCCAGAAGTGACATAAAAGTGATTTAAGTGTTTGATCTAAGTGTGTATGTGAGCGGGTGTGAGTGTGGGTATGTGTATGTGTATGTGTGTGTATGCGTAAACAAAGTAACCATTTATTATCTATTACCATTGTCATTACCATCACCACCCTACTCCCCACTACCACCACACTGCCAATATTGTGTTGGTCGATTTTTATTTCCATCCTACCTCCTATGTAACAATTGCCATTGTCAATCCTGCACAAAATAAAAGATGATATAAGATATAAGATAACCTTCCCCCACATCTCATCAGTCCCTATCTTTTCCTAATTTTTTTTTTTTTTTTTTTTTTTTTTTATGTGCAATGTCTAAGGTGCATTAAAAGAGGGAGTACAGTGCGAGTACAGTCAGGCGCGAATTTGACGCGCTATTCGCGTCCGGTGTGAACGCACAGTAACAGTATAATGGATCCGTGCGTCGGGTCTTAAAGTGACAGTAACCTAATATTCCTGCTGCTAAATATCTATATGGCAGTTTTTTTTTACCATGGTATCGATGTCAAAATTGTGGCCAGTGAAAGTGCTGAGTGGCTAGTAACTTTGGAAAACCACTAGTCACAGTGGTTGGAGAGCAAAAAAGTTAATGTCAAGCCCTGGGTACAGTTATAGTTCACCCTGAATTGATCTTTTCAATGAAGATGGACAGACTAAATAAGAAAATATTTGGGATAGGAACAACATGAGGGTGATTAAATGAGATGAGAATATTTTAGGGTGAACTTTATCTAAGATATTCACTTTGAGTCTTTAAATTGCTAAGCTGTTCAGACTCACTTTGAGCAGGTGCAGTTTGCCGCCGGATGTACGTGTGCAGATGAGGAAGTGTTTAGTGAACAGAAAACACTGGCGTTCAGCTTCTTTCCTGAGCGACAGCGAGCCCAGACGCACCTTACTCAGTTTACCCTTCTCCACAGAGGGCAGCTGAATCAGAGAGCCTACAGGAAACACACAATCACACACTCTTTACCGAGCGGAAGGAGAACATTAAAGACAGCGTTTCAGGGAGAGAGGGCAGCGCTGTCTCATCGAGAAAAGCTTCTCTACGAGACATGATGAACTAAAATGGCACATTCGGTTTAATTAGAGCACATTCACACCGTCCTGTCAGTGGGGAGCAGCGCTGAATGAGATCAGTGTTCGGGTGGAGCTGAAACAAGCATACACTGATATTCATACAAAACTAGTGACTGACTGCAGCTAAGCTGTTCAACTTTTAATATAAATAAAGAAAAACATTCATTTAAAATAAATAAATAATACATATGTATTTGAAATAAATCGATTTTTTATTTTAAAATGAATACATTTATATTTTTTTAAATACATATATTGTTATATGTGTATTATTTTTTAATAATGTTTTATTATAATATATTATATTAATTTAAATATATTATATTATATTATAGTATTATATTATAGTATATATTATATTAATTTAAATTATTTTAAATTAATCCATATTTATAAAAAAAAGAAATTTATTTTAAAACAATTAAAAATATTATATTCTTAAATAAAGAATATTAATATAAAATAAATATTTTTGTATATAGTGTTTTGTATACATTTCTTTGTACTTTTAAATAAATACTACATATTTATTTTAAACAAATATTGTATTTTTATTTCAACTAAAATAGTATTTTTGCACAATACATTTATATATATATATATATTAATTTTTTAAATAAGGAATAGAAATTCTAAATACATAAATAATACATATTTATTTACATTTAAAAAAATATATATACATATTTTTGCATATTTTTTTGTAAACATTTCAATATTTTTTAAATACTTATTTAAAAATAAATAAATAATACATATTTATTTTAAAAAAATGTTTTATTGTTATTTAATATATATATATATATATATATATTTTTTTTTTTATTATATATAATATAATATATATATTTATAAGTATTTAAAAAATATTTAAAAAATACTAAAAAATATTAAAAAATATTAAAAAATATTAAAAAATATTAAAAAATAAAAATAAAACAATCCTTTATTTATTGTTTCAAATAAATAAAGGAACAGTTACTATGGCTCCGCTGGTAGAGCCGGCACTAGCAATGAACAGCAGAACACACAGGATGGAAATCACTCATAGAGGATTAGGGGTAGAAATTAGTTATTTGAAAAGGATGTGTCCTGAAATCAAGACATCTCGGCTCACACCCATAATGCACTGCCTCACCCTGCCGTATAAACGTCTGACTGGTGTCCAGCAGAATATCACAGCCCTCCACGATCATTCGCTCGATCGCGAGGTTCTTGCGGATGTTTTCTGTGTCACTCACTTCATCATGCATCATTCTGAGGAGAAACATGCAAACACATCTCAATATATATATTACATATATATATTATACATTTTAAATCTATTTATAAAGTTAGGTGTTTGGCAATGTAAATGTGAATTGGACGATATTGAAGCAAGTCAAGTGTGGTCACATGAATGTTAAAAATGAAATTCAAAAGCCCAGTTTGCATTTAAAAGAATCACTTTTTCCATAGAGGAAACTGATGGGGCTTTTTGATATCAGAGTTTCATGTTAGAATAACATTACAAATAGAATTTAGTAGATGATATATATGTTAATTATTTTAAAACAAATATTTTTTTTTATCATTTTACACATATATAAATTAGAAAAGAACAAAATATTATAGAAAAATATATAATTTAAAAAAGAATATTATTGTAAAATAAATAATACATATTTATTTAAAAAAATAATTTGTATTTTTAAATAAAAAAAATGTTTTTATAATACATGTTTATTTTTATTTTGTATCATTTCAATTTGAATTTTTTTTTTTTGTTAGAATTTAGAACATTTAGAATCTTACTGGTGCTTTTTTACAGTTTGAAGCAAAATAGAAGAACGCCATAAAGAACGTTTAATTCTCTAGTTCTATAATCTGGTGCTTTAAAGAACATTTAAAGGTCCATACACTGATCTGAAGATAATAAACAATAATAAATTGAATAGTAATAAAATATAATAAAATGAATATTATACCCTTTTTTAGATTTCTTTTAAAGCTTTTACTCACTTGGACAGTTCCTCAAGTTTGGATTTGGCAAATTCCAGACTCCTGCGCTCGACATGTTCATGAGGCGTGTGTGCGAGAAGCTCGTGAAGGGTGATGATGTATCGTGGGATCTAATAATAAAGGTAATAATCAACAATTAAAACACTCATTTTTACACAATCAACCACGGTTAAAAGAAATGCAACATGCAATACTCTAGAGCTACTACTGTTTGTTAGCTGGCACACTGCTGAAAGGTCAAAGGTCGACCTGAAACATGGGGTAGGTGAGGAAGGTTTCCAGCATTCGGCCCTCACAGGCAGCGTTTGCTTCATACTGCTTCAGGAGCTTGTCAAAGTCCCGGTTCTGTTTACAGTTGGCCAGAACCTGCAAACTGTACTGATGGTTTCGCACAAACTCCTGATAAATGTTCAGCATTGGCAGCAAGATGTCGAAGAGATCAGCTGAAACATGACAGTTTGGTTTTTAGACATTTTCATTATATATATATTTATATATGTGAAATTTGTCAGAGAAAACTGTGATATATAAATGGTCATGGCCACTGGAAGAAAGTCAAATAACAAATTTATTTTTGTCTCAGCCAAACAAAATATGACAGTAATTTTTTTTTTTTTTTTTTTGGTTATTGCTAATTTTTATTCTATGTGTGGAGAGTCGAGAAGCGCTTCACTGCATGTCGTACTATGGTTGTGTCTGACAATAAAAAATAATAAAAAATAATTCAATTTTAATTGAATAAAAAAAAATATGCAGCTTGAACAAACTCACCTAAAACTAAGGTTGGCCAGTTGGCTATCCGAGCCTTCAAGCCTTGGTGGAATATCTCATGGAGAAACATTATCGTCTCACTTACCGATAAAGAAAAAACAAAGAAGAGAAATGCATGGTGCATCAGTTTCAAAACAGATATGTTACTTTCAAAACAGTAGCATTAATAACATTGATGTGCTCAACAGTGTGCCAAAATTTGAAATAAAGAACTGTTGAATTGTTTTAAAGTGGCCCTGTTATGCTATTTTAAATATTCCTACAACAGGTTTACATGCATCCAAGGTTTACTCATACATTGCCTGCCGTTCTGCAAAACTACTCTGCTCTGATTGGTCAGATGCCTCAGTCTGTTGTGATTGGTCTACTCTGCTCTGATTGGTCAGATGACCCAGTCTGTTGTGATTGGTCTGCTCTGCTCTGATTGGTCAGATGACCCAGTCTGTTGTGATTGGTCTACTCTGCTCTGATTGGTCAGATGACCCAGTCTGTTGTGATTGGTCTACTCTGCTCTGATTAGTCAGATGGCCCAGTCTGTCGTGATTGGTCTGCTCTGCTCTGATTGGTCAGATGACCCAGTCTGTTGTGATTGGTCTACTCTGCTCTGATTGGTCAGATGGCCCAGTCTGTCGTGATTGGTCTGCTCTGCTCTGATTGGTCAGGCGGCCCAGTCTGTTGTGATTGGTCTACTCTGCTCTGATTGGTCAGATGGCCCAGTCTGTCGTGATTGGTCTACTCTGCTCTGATTGGTCAGACGGTCCAGTCTGTTGTGATTGGTCTACTCTGCTCTGATTGGTCAGACGGTCCAGTCTGTTTTGATTGGTCTACTCTGCTCTGATTGGTTAGACGGCCCAGTCTGTTGTGATTGGTCTACTCTGCTCTGATTGGTCAGATGGTCCAGTCTGTTGTGATTGGTCTACTCTGCTCTGATTGGTCAGACGGTCCAGTCTGTTGTGATTGGTCTACTCTGCTCTGATTGGTCAGATGGCCCAGTCTGTTTTGATTGGTCTACTCTGCTCTGATTGGTCAGACGGCCCAGTCTGTCGTGATTGGTCTACTCTGCTCTGATTGGTCAGATGGCCCAGTCTGTTGTGATTGGTCTACTCTGCTCTGATTGGTCAGACGGCTCAGTCTGTTGTGATTGGTCTACTCTGCTCTGATTGGTCAGATGGCCCAGTCTGTTGTGATTGGTCTACTCTGCTCTGATTAGTCAGATGACCCAGTCTGTTGTGATTGGTCTACTCTGCTCTGATTGGTTAGACGGCTCAGTCTGTTGTGATTGGTCTACTCTGCTCTGATTAGTCAGATGACCCAGTCTGTTGTGATTGGTCTACTCTGCTCTGATTGGTTAGACGGCTCAGTCTGTTGTGATTGGTCTACTCTGCTCTGATTGGTCAGATGGCCCAGTCTGTTGTGATTGGTCTACTCTGCTCTGATTGGTCAGACGGCCCAGTCTGTTGTGATTGGTCTACTCTGCTCTGATTGGTCAGATGACCCAGTCTGTTGTGATTGGTCTGCTCTGCTCTGATTGGTCAGATGACCCAGTCTGTTGTGATTGGTCTGCTCTGCTCTGATTGGTCAGGCGGCCCAGTCTGTTGTGATTGGTCTACTCTGCTCTGATTGGTCAGATGGCCCAGTCTGTCGTGATTGGTCTACTCTGCTCTGATTGGTCAGACGGTCCAGTCTGTTGTGATTGGTCTACTCTGCTCTGATTAGTCAGACGGCCCAGTCTGTTGTGATTGGTCTACTCTGCTGATTGGTTAGACGGCCCAGTCTGTTGTGATTGGTCTACTCTGCTCTGATTGGTCAGACGGCTCAGTCTGTTGTGATTTGTCTACTCTGCTCTGATTGGTCAGACGGCCCAGTCTGTTGTGATTGGTCTACTCTGCTCTGATTGGTCAGACGGCCCAGTCTGTTGTGATTGGTCTACTCTGCTCTGATTGGTAAGACGGCCCAGTCTGTTGTGATTGGTCTACTCTGCTCTGATTGGTCAGATGGCCCAGTCTGTTGTGATTGGTCTACTCTGCTCTGATTGGTCAGACGGCCCAGTCTGTTGTGATTGGTCTACTCTGCTCTGATTGGTTAGACGGCCCAGTCTGTTGTGATTGGTCTACTCTGCTCTGATTGGTCAGACGGCTCAGTCTGTTGTGATTGGTCTACTCTGCTCTGATTAGTCAGATGACCCAGTCTGTTGTGATTGGTCTACTCTGCTCTGATTGGTCAGATGACCCAGTCTGTTGTGATTGGTCTGCTCTGCTCTGATTGGTCAGATGACCCAGTCTGTTGTGATTGGTCTACTCTGCTCTGATTGGTCAGATGGCCCAGTCTGTCGTGATTGGTCTGCTCTGCTCTGATTGGTCAGATGACCCAGTCTGTTGTGATTGGTCTACTCTGCTCTGATTGGTCAGATGGCCCAGTCTGTCGTGATTGGTCTGCTCTGCTCTGATTGGTCAGGCGGCCCAGTCTGTTGTGATTGGTCTACTCTGCTCTGATTGGTCAGATGGCCCAGTCTGTCGTGATTGGTCTACTCTGCTCTGATTGGTCAGACGGTCCAGTCTGTTGTGATTGGTCTACTCTGCTCTGATTGGTCAGACGGTCCAGTCTGTTTTGATTGGTCTACTCTGCTCTGATTGGTTAGACGGCCCAGTCTGTTGTGATTGGTCTACTCTGCTCTGATTGGTCAGATGGTCCAGTCTGTTGTGATTGGTCTACTCTGCTCTGATTGGTCAGACGGTCCAGTCTGTTGTGATTGGTCTACTCTGCTCTGATTGGTCAGATGGCCCAGTCTGTTTTGATTGGTCTACTCTGCTCTGATTGGTCAGACGGCCCAGTCTGTCGTGATTGGTCTACTCTGCTCTGATTGGTCAGATGGCCCAGTCTGTTGTGATTGGTCTACTCTGCTCTGATTGGTCAGACGGCTCAGTCTGTTGTGATTGGTCTACTCTGCTCTGATTGGTCAGATGGCCCAGTCTGTTGTGATTGGTCTACTCTGCTCTGATTAGTCAGATGACCCAGTCTGTTGTGATTGGTCTACTCTGCTCTGATTGGTTAGACGGCTCAGTCTGTTGTGATTGGTCTACTCTGCTCTGATTAGTCAGATGACCCAGTCTGTTGTGATTGGTCTACTCTGCTCTGATTGGTTAGACGGCTCAGTCTGTTGTGATTGGTCTACTCTGCTCTGATTGGTCAGATGGCCCAGTCTGTTGTGATTGGTCTACTCTGCTCTGATTGGTCAGACGGCCCAGTCTGTTGTGATTGGTCTACTCTGCTCTGATTGGTCAGATGACCCAGTCTGTTGTGATTGGTCTGCTCTGCTCTGATTGGTCAGATGACCCAGTCTGTTGTGATTGGTCTGCTCTGCTCTGATTGGTCAGGCGGCCCAGTCTGTTGTGATTGGTCTACTCTGCTCTGATTGGTCAGATGGCCCAGTCTGTCGTGATTGGTCTACTCTGCTCTGATTGGTCAGACGGTCCAGTCTGTTGTGATTGGTCTACTCTGCTCTGATTAGTCAGACGGCCCAGTCTGTTGTGATTGGTCTACTCTGCTGATTGGTTAGACGGCCCAGTCTGTTGTGATTGGTCTACTCTGCTCTGATTGGTCAGACGGCTCAGTCTGTTGTGATTTGTCTACTCTGCTCTGATTGGTCAGACGGCCCAGTCTGTTGTGATTGGTCTACTCTGCTCTGATTGGTCAGACGGCCCAGTCTGTTGTGATTGGTCTACTCTGCTCTGATTGGTAAGACGGCCCAGTCTGTTGTGATTGGTCTACTCTGCTCTGATTGGTCAGATGGCCCAGTCTGTTGTGATTGGTCTACTCTGCTCTGATTGGTCAGACGGCCCAGTCTGTTGTGATTGGTCTACTCTGCTCTGATTGGTCAGACGGCTCAGTCTGTTGTGATTGGTCTACTCTGCTCTGATTGGTAAGACGGCCCAGTCTGTTGTGATTGGTCTACTCTGCTCTGATTGGTCAGATGGCCCAGTCTGTTTTGATTGGTCTACTCTGCTGTGATTGGTTAGACGGCTCAGTCTGTTGTGATTGGTCTACTCTGCTCTGATTGGTCAGATGGTCCAGTCTGTTGTGATTGGTCTACTCTGCTCTGATTGGTCAGACGGCTCAGTCTGTTGTGATTGGTCTACTCTGCTGTGATTGGTCAGATGGTCCAGTCTGTTGTGATTGGTCTACTCTGCTCTGATTGGTTAGACGGCTCAGTCTGTTGTGATTGGTCTACTCTGCTCTGATTGGTCAGATGGCCCAGCCTGTTGTGATTGGTCTACTCTGCTCTGATTGGTCAGATGGCCCAGTCTGTTGTGATTGGTCTACTCTGCTCTGATTGGTCAGACGGCCCAGTCTGTTGTGATTGGTCTACTCTGCTCTGATTGGTTAGACGGCCCAGTCTGTTGTGATTGGTCTACTCTGCTCTGATTGGTCAGATGGCCCAGTCTGTTTTGATTGGTCTACTCTGCTCTGATTGGTTAGACGGCTCAGTCTGTTGTGATTGGTCTACTCTGCTCTGATTGGTCAGACGGTCCAGTCTGTTGTGATTGGTCTACTCTGCTCTGATTGGTCAGATGGCCCAGTCTGTTTTGATTGGTCTACTCTGCTCTGATTGGTCAGATGGCCCAGTCTGTTTTGATTGGTCTACTCTGCTCTGATTGGTTAGACGGCTCAGTCTGTTGTGATTGGTCTACACTGCTCTGATTGGTCAGATGGCCCAGCCTGTTGTGATTGGTCTACTCTGCTCTGATTAGTCAGATGACCCAGTCTGTTGTGATTGGTCTACTCTGCTCTGATTGGTCAGATGGCCCAGTCTGTTGTGATTGGTCTACTCTGCACTGATTAGTCAGATGACCCAGTCTGTTGTGATTGGTCTACTCTGCTCTGATTGGTCAGATGGCCCAGTCTGTTGTGATTGGTCTACTCTGCTCTGATTGGTCAGATGGCCCAGCCTGTTGTGATTGGTCTACTCTGCTCTGATTAGTCAGACGGCCCAGTCTGTTGTGATTGGTCTACTCTGCTGATTGGTTAGACGGCCCAGTCTGTTGTGATTGGTCTACTCTGCTCTGATTGGTCAGACGGCTCAGTCTGTTGTGATTGGTCTACTCTGCTCTGATTGGTCAGACGGCCCAGTCTGTTGTGATTGGTCTACTCTGCTCTGATTGGTCAGACGGCCCAGTCTGTTGTGATTGGTCTACTCTGCTCTGATTGGTCAGATGGCCCAGTCTGTTGTGATTGGTCTACTCTGCTCTGATTGGTTAGACGGCCCAGTCTGTTGTGATTGGTCTACTCTGCTCTGATTGGTCAGACGGCTCAGTCTGTTGTGATTGGTCTACTCTGCTCTGATTGGTCAGATGGCCCAGTCTGTTTTGATTGGTCTACTCTGCTCTGATTGGTCAGATGGTCCAGTCTGTTGTGATTGGTCTTCTCTGCTCTGATTGGTCAGATGGCCCAGTCTGTTGTGATTGGTCTACTCTGCTCTGATTGGTTAGACGGCTCAGTCTGTTGTGATTGGTCTACTCTGCTCTGATTGGTCAGACGGTCCAGTCTGTTGTGATTGGTCTACTCTGCTCTGATTGGTTAGACGGCTCAGTCTGTTGTGATTGGTCTACTCTGCTCTGATTGGTCAGATGGCCCAGTCTGTTGTGATTGGTCTACTCTGCTCTGATTGGTCAGACGGCCCAGTCTGTTGTGATTGGTCTACTCTGCTCTGATTGGTTAGACGGCCCAGTCTGTTGTGATTGGTCTACTCTGCTCTGATTGGTCAGACGGCTCAGTCTGTTGTGATTGGTCTACTCTGCTCTGATTGGTAAGACGGCCCAGTCTGTTGTGATTGGTCTACTCTGCTCTGATTGGTCAGATGGCCCAGTCTGTTGTGATTGGTCTACTCTGCTCTGATTGGTCAGATGGCCCAGTCTGTTTTGATTGGTCTAGCACGCATTGGAAACAAAACTTCTATATCTGAATTTCAGCTCCAGAGGCTTCCTCAGCATTTGATACACAGTGAAACAAACGATGCGGTAGGTTTTTCCATATCAACACCAGTGCAAGCCCTCATTTTGAAGTGTATGCAGAGTGGATTCGAAAACAGCGTCTTCTTGACATGTTGACAACACAGATCAAACTCAACACAGATCAAATCCAGTCTCAGCTACAACTAGAGTATTTGAGCGCGGGGCAAAGTAGACGTTGTTCACGGGCAGCCAAAGAAGACCATAGGCTGGCATTATGCAAATGTGTTACATTGTTATGTAGGTTTGAGTGAGACTGGAATTGCTGACGACTCGTTTCAGCAGATCAGAATCAATTCTTTCTTTTAGGAGACAATAACTTTATTTGTCGGACACTTTGATCTTTAAAACTTTGCAGACCTTTTACATTCACAAAGAGCTATATTACACACTGCATGAAAGGAGAAGCATAACAGGAGCCCTTTAAGTGCATATATACCTATTGAGGAAGACACTGCTGACATCGTCATGACTAATAGGTGGTTTTTTGGAACTGGCCGCCATCCTCAGCGGCCTCAGGAAACAGTTGACCAGGATGGAGAGCTGGAGCACGTACTCCGTCTCAGCTTCCACCATGTTAAAGACGATCTGGTTTCTCTTCCTCATGCTCTCAGCGTGAGGTGAGCAGATGTAGTCCTGCACGATAATCTTCCACTTCCTTCTGCACAGCCAACCACGCATGAAGCTTTGCACCTGCGAGAAAACACGCGGAGACGCCCGAGTAACTGCACTTACCCTACACACAATAACAAAAATGACTGCGTAAATGAGATGGATATATGGAGACAATCATATACCTTCTTGATTTTCTTGATATCTGGATCTTCTTCCTCTTGATTGGACTGATAGGGCAACATTCGCTCTTTCGTTTTATTCAGAACAACGACCTATAAACAGATAACGCAGCAAATCATATTAGAATGATTTCTGAAGGATCATGTGACACTGAAGACTGGAGTAATGATGCTGAAAATTCAGCTTTGATCACAGGAATAAATTACATTTTACTATATATTCAAATAGAAAATAGTATGACGATGAACTGACCTCTGCCTTCAGTCTCTCGATCTCTGTATCCTGGTCTTCCAGTTGTGTCCGCAGTTGATTTGCCGCCACTTTTTCCGTCTCCATGATCTGCACCAGATGGATGTATTTCTGCATGAGAACTTCCCGCTCTATGATCAGGTCTGAATAACTGCCAGCGACAGAAGAACAACAAAGCTGGTTAGAAACATTTTTAAAGAGAAAACCTGAGAGCTAAATAAATGAATGAGACACTTGAGCCTTTTAAAAGACTCATACAAACAAACTCTATGCAAGTACACAAAAGCTTATTCTCATTTCATAATGAACCCTCCTTAAAGGAGCTGTATGTAAGATTGTGGCCAAAACTGGTACTGCAATCACTTTCAAATTACTGTAGAGCGGTGTATCCCCTCCCCCTCCTTCCTGACTCGAGGTTGCCAGATAGGCTGCAGGATCCCGTAGTCTGCTCCAAGTAGTGGTAACTAGAGCAGAGCTGGCAACCCGGATCCCGCAACACTACTGACTCCGTGATTGGTAGATAGGTGGAGGGTGGAGCATCAGACCAAAACACAACATGACAACATCAACATCAGTTGAGGGCTGCAACTTCACTTTTTAAATGACAATATCCTGGCCGGACTACTGTTGTCAGTGATATAAGTATTTGAAATTAACATGATTTCTTAATGTCTAGTGACATATCAGGGCCATTTTATGATTAATTGAAATACATTTCTTACATACAGCTCCTTTAATTAATGCAGTGTGGGTCGTATTTTCTTTTACCTTATGTAGTTATGTTTATGGTTTTTTGAGAATCAGGGTATGTCACACAACCTACCCATGTTACATGTGTCTGATTTGATCAAATTTACCAAGTGATGAATGATGTATTGGTAAAATACAGCACCATTTTTCAATAAATGAATGTAAAATTTGAAAATAATGCAATTTCAGTGGTTTCAGACTTTTGAACCCCTTCAAAAAAGAAAAAAACTGCTTGGAACGACTGTGACAAGCCTCAAACTAATCATTTATTTGGCTGACGGATATAAGAAGAGCTACAATGGCATGCAGCATGTCTATATATGATGTATCGATTTGCATGGGTTTGTTTTGAAACACAATCCAGAAGAAAACCAGCTGAGTTCTTAAGTTATTTTTAATTTAATATCAACTTCATCTCAGATGTTTCTCCTAAAATCCCTTTGGATGAATAAAAACAGATGTAATTTTAGCAGCTCAGATCATTTGGTTCATATTGAGATCTGTGACTTTCGATTATAAATGTTGATATCTTGTCAAATTTGAGCATAGTTTGTAGCATTATTGAAATGAGTGTGAAATTACACAAGTAGCCTATTTTCTCTCTCGAGACTCATACAAACAAAGAGAAGCAAAAGTCTCTGTGTGCATTGCTATCTAGAAGAATCAATCAAGTGATTTTCATTTGCTACAGAAAAAGGCTGTTACGTGACATGCTAATAACCAGCTCAGCAAAATCACTTTTGTTCTCAAAAGACTCAAGAGTGTTTTGTCTCTGTATTGTACCTGGCCTGCTGAATGGCCTCCACCCACTCATTACAATCAGCGTCCTCTTCTGTCCGCAGCTCCAGAGGTTTCTGCCCATCGTGGCCGAAAATCACCAGGAAGTAATGCTGGAAAAGATGAGAAACGAAACATCAGAGAGTGAAGCATTGCGTTTGGTCCACGGTGGGCAGCATTAGGAGAGTTCTGACCTAAATAGAGACGCTTCCAGCGGCCACCGGCTCGAACTCGCATGCACTCGTTGAACGGAAATGACAGTAGACGTGTTACTGAGTAATTTTGCCCTAAATCATAAAGCAGCATGTGAAAAGAAGAAGCTAAAATAACAAAACATCAAGCCAACAAGCAGTGAAAAAAATATTAAATGGGGTCCGATTATGCTTTTTAACAGTTTCAGCTTTCTTTAGTGTGTAATGTTGCTGTTTGAGCATGAAAAAGGGAGTTATTCAGTGTCAGTGTCTCTGAACTCCTGAAACGCCTCCATTGTAGTCTTGAGTTTCTTCCGGTAACGAACACGTCACAATATTCCTCATTTAAATAATTCATATGCAGAATAAAGGGGCGGGGCCTGGTTGAGTGAGTTAGTAGTGTGTTAAACTGGTGGTTATGCTAAGGGGCGGGACATTTCCCAAACACACTTGTAACGGTTGACCAATCACAACACACTGCTCCAGCCGACCAATCAGAGCACAGTGGGCTTTTCAAAAGGAGGGGCTTCATAGAGACAGGAACTAAACAGAGCGTTACTGACAGACTGGGAAGAGAGGAGCTGCACCAATGGAGAATATGAGAAAAATAATGAACATTCAAGCATAAAAAAACTTATTCTAGTAGAGGTAAAAAATGTTGGTCATCATAATAGGCCACTTTAATAGATCACGTCTATAAGAGAATTTTTTTTATTTATTTTCTGACCTGCACATGTTCTTGACAGGTTTACCCTCATATAAGTGATGGAGTGAAAGAGCGAGAGACTGAGAGTGTTTTATAGGACGTAGGCTCGCTTAAGGGCTCGTTTGTGTTCTCATGAAGCACGGCTGGTGTGCGTGTGTGTGTGTGTGTGTGTGTGTGTGTGTGTGTGTGTGTGTGGTTATGTAACCGGCAGAGCTTCTCCTATGTCTTTAATGCGCTGTCCTGAGCCTCAGGCCTTGTTTAAACTGAGAGACAACAATAGACTCGACCGGCCCACAAATACCGATTCTGTTTCACTTTCACAGACCCACAGAACGATCATCTCCCACTGAACCCCACTCATACGCTTCTGCTCTGGCCAATTACAGTAACAATGCTTGACGGGTCAGATTTCACATTCATTTCTGACTTGTTTGCATAATTTCTTCAAGCAGCTCTGCATGCATGTACACAGATTGCCCTTCCGAAGACTTTCATTGAAATAGCCATGTCTGAGAGAAACACACTGCCAGAAGGGCTACTATTCTTAGAAAGGCAACCCAGCACTGTGTAATAAAAGGACACTCGCATATGTGTGCATGTGTGAGCTCATGAAACAGCAAGACTCACAGGGATCGCTCCTTCCAGACGGACTACATCTGGAAGAATACAGAAAATCATATAATCAACATGCAATGGCATTCACAACCCATTTTAATATTATTATTTTTTAAATATTTTAAAAAATATTAAAAAAACGGCGGGAATGGCAGCTTGATTCCTACATAGTGATGAATATATTAATATTATCAAATCAGTGCAATTTAAAACTATCGACACAAATATAAAATGTACAACATAAAACTACTGAGTTTCAGTGATTAATGCGTATAAAAGCACAATTATATGATCAATAAGTTATGACAACATATGCTTTCTCTCATCAAAATAAGTTAAGCAACTTTTTTGTTTTTAAGTTATTTATAGTTTTTTAAAGTTATACAAAATTCAACACATTTTTTAATTCAGTTTAATGTAATTTAATTTGAAATGACTTAAACATTCAAGTTGATTGTACTTAAAAAATTGAAGGGAGCCCCTTTTTTACAGTGTATTTCATGACATAAACATTCATATACACTACCGTTCGCACATTTCTTTAAAAAAACAAATGTTATACTCTTATTCAACAAGGATGCATTCAATTAAAAGTCACAGTAAAGGCATTTACAATGTAACAAAATATTTTTATTTCAAAAAAATGCTGTTCTTTTGAATTGAGAAAAGAGAAACATGCATCATGGTTTCCACATAAATATGAAGCAGCACTGATTGACAATAATCAGAAATGTTTCTTGAGCAGCAAATTAGAAATGATTTCTGAAGGATCATGTGACACTGAAGACTGTAAAATAAATTATATAATTTAAATATACATTCAAAATGTAATAATGTTTCACAAAATGTATGTTTCTACTGTATTTTTGGTCAAATAAATGCAGCCTTGGTGGGCAGAGGAGACTTTTGAACAGTAGTTTATTCAATTATATAAAGAGTCTGAGTGTAGGCCGGCAGACCTGATCACTGCGCTGATCATTTCAAGGGAGTGAGCGGGCAATCAAATAAACCGGGTGAGTTTTCATTGTAATGTTGACTTTAACGGGAACAGAACTCACTCCTGTGTAAGTGCTGCAAGCTTGATAACACAGTGGCACTTCAACATGACATCAAACCCCATTTCCATGGTAACACAAGTCACTGCCACTGGTGTTTGTTTCAAGCATATTTCACATGCATCTGAATCTTGATCATGTACATGTTCAAAGCGGGAGATAAACCTACTAGTGGAGAGCGGGAGTAAATATCGGCCAATGAGCAAACTACTTAGAATCACATTAAAAACATTACTATAACCAATTATACATTTTATTCTAAACTAAAAGCAACCATTTCAAGCCAAATATATTTTTTTCCATCAATAAATGACTGTTTTATAAATATCCAGGTTAGTTTGCATATCACAAAAGCTGGTTTAATTGAGTTGGCCCAGAAATCAAAACTCAATCAGCATTTGTGTTTAACATGCAGTTGAAGAACTTGTGATGGGCAACGATAAAAGCGCTGAATTAATTGTGCAAGAGGGTGCAGATAAAAATGTATCATCTGTAGACAGGGTGTAGACAAAAACATATCAAATATTATAATGCAATTATGAAAAAAGAAAACTAAACTACACAATACTACACACACAAAAAAAATAAAAAATAAGGCATGTTGCACTTTAGAGGTCAAACATTCGGCGGTGCAGAGGGCATCCACACACACACGGGCGTGTTTCAGCCAACAGCTGATAATCTGTGTGTGTGTGTGTGTGTGTGTGTGTGTGTGTGGTGGCAGATAACATCTGCTATAACATAACAGAAGAGATTGTGTGTGCATATGGGTTTGCTTAGCTAAATATGACAACACTTTTCTTTTTATGGGGGATGTCCTTAACTGGAAAAATGTATACATAAATACATATTTTTTTCAGTATTATTTTAAAAATGCTAGAAATATATACATATACACTCACCGGCCACTTTATTAGGTACACCTGTCCAACTGCTCGTTAACACTTAATTTCTAAGCAGCCAATCACATGGCGGCAACTCAGTGCATTTAGGCATGTAGACATGGTCAAGACAATCTCCTGCAGTTCAAACCGAGCATCAGTATGGGGAAGAAAGTTGATTTGAGTGACTTTGAACGTGGCATGATTGTTGGTGCCAGAAGGGCTGGTCTGAGTATTTCAGAAACTGCTAATCTACTGGGATTTTCACGCACAACCATCTCTAGGGTTTACAGAGAATGGTCCGAAAAAGAAAAAACATCCAGTGAGCGGCAGTTCTGTGGGCGGAAATGCCTTGTTGATGCCAGAGGTCAGAGGAGAATGGCCAGACTGGTTCGAGCTGATAGAAGGGCAACAGTGACTGAAATAACCACTCGTTACAACCGAGGTATGCAGCAAAGCATTTGTGAAGCCACAACACGCACAACCTTGAGGCGGATGGGCTACAACAGCAGAAGACTCCACCGGGTACCACTCATCTCCACTACAAATAGGAAAAAGAGGCTACAATTTGCAAGAGCTCACCAAAATTTAACAGTTGAAGACTGGAAAAATGTTGCCTGGTCTGATGAGTCTCGATTTCTGTTGAGACATTCAGATGGTAGAGTCAGAATTTGGCGTAAACAGAATGAGAACATGGAACCATCATGCCTTGTTACCACTGTGCAGGCTGGTGGTGGTGGTGTAATGGTGTGGGGGATGTTTTCCTGGCACACTTTAGGCCCCTTAGTGCCAATTGGGCATCGTTTAAATGCCACGGCCTACCTGAGCATTGTTTCTGACCATGTCCATCCCTTTATGGCCACCATGTACCCATCCTCTGATGGCTACTTCCACCATGTCACAAAGCTCTAATCATTTCAAATTGGTTTCTTGAACATGACAATGAGTTCACTGTACTAAAATGGCCTCCACAGTCACCAGATCTCAACCCAATAGAGCATCTTTGGGATGTGGTGGAACGGGAGATTCGCATCATGGATGTGCAGCCGACAAATCTGCGGCAACTGTGTGATGCCATCATGTCAATATGGACCAAACTCCCTGAGGAATGCTTCCAGCACCTTGTTGAATCTATGCCACGAAGAATTGAGGCAGTTCTGAAGGCAAAAGGGGGTCCAACCCGTTACTAGCATGGGGTACCTAATAAAGTGGCCGGTGAGTGTATATATATATATATATATATATACTGTATAATGGTTACGCTATAGTAATTCTAATTCACACTTGAATTTTCATGACAGTTATTCACAACTATCAGGAGGATAAATTGATGTGAGTCATAAATCCAGAGAAACTTTATGGATTTTTACTTTAGATACATTGTTTCCCAAAGAGCTTAATCAGGATATAGACTTTGGTATGTTCTATTGATGTTTCTCATTTTCCCTCTTAATCTTGCTATAAAGCCAATCCCACAGTTACAGTAACAGCTGTTTCTGACTGTGAGAGTGTATAAAGCAGTGTGTGATATGATGCTTGTTCTTGATGTTTGATGAAGGCCTTGACATTGGCCAAAACGTTACTTGTTTTAAACTAATAAAGTACAAGCGTTTTTCTTCAAGAGTGAGTGTTGCACCTTTTATTTAACTGATGAATTAACTAACTTTTGAGTTTGTTTGTATAGTTGTCATTATTCTTAATTCATAGTTTTAGGTCACATGACTGGCGTGGAGACCTGGCAGGCAAAACATCCATAAAACTGCAATTTTCCATCTCAAAAGAATAAAAATAAAAATATGTGAACAAAATACGAGTTTTGGGATTTAATATTCAGCACCTGCTGTAGTATTTCAGTCTCTAAAAACAGCGGGAATCATAACAACACTTCACGTGAAAAACACCTAAAGTTCCTAAATGTACTAAAACAGTGATATTAAAAGATCAAATTCTTCAATTTAAAACTTATTGAGGATTCATACTAACAGGTGAGCAGATGAGACCAGAATATGAACGTAACATGCTAAATGGTTTCTTTATAATGGTTTTCCATGGAAAAACATTTAACAACAACAACAAAAAAGTGCGTATTGCAATAATATTCTGGGTTCATCTGCTTTCCTGTACATTGTATTTCTCATTAATAAGGTGTATATTGAATTTGGTCTTTTACTACATTAGCACAAACCTGGTAAAGCCTTGTTTTGCCCTCATAAGGGTGTGACGTCACGTGAAAACGATTACCGGTTAATGTATACTGTAAAAGTATTTTATATAGTAGGCTACTAAAACAATGAATTTTTAATTTTTTTTAATTAGCACAAATTTAAAGGTAGTACACTATCAAAGCGTATAAATAAATATTTTAGGATTGAAATAAATAAATTGTACCCCTTATGTTTTAATGGGTAATTTGAATGTGAAATTTGGGTTATAAAAGTAGAAATGACATGAAACTCCACAACTGAGGCAGATCCTGCTCATCAGTATGTCAGGAACCTCAGGCTGAGGCTTTCATGGGGACAGAACGCGTCGTGCTGATGAGTGTGGTCCCGGGATCAGAATATATCTGCTTCATATGCAGAAGATGAGTGTTTAATCTGCAAGATGCTGCTTAACACCAGCAGCGACCGCAGCGCATATTCATCTATGTGCATGCTTGTTTTTAGGCCTGGAAAATATCTTAAAATATTAAATCCCACACCCCTTTATCAGTGAATTCCCAGGACTTTTCAGTGATTAGGGAGGGATCTCCAATATAATATCAATATACAAATATAATACAATATGATAACAGCACAAATATGCAATATTTACAGAAAGGGAAGAAACCTTTGTTAATCAGCCAAGCATGCAGTTATTAGCTGATGCTCAAAATGTCTAAATAGCCAAATATCGGTGAACTAATGACTTTCTCAAGAAACCAGTTTGAGACTAATAAAGATTGCACTCACCGATTTCTATACAATGAAATGTTTTAGAGCTGAGCATAACTAAAAATTGCTTATTAACTGTAGAAACTTCCATGTCTGTACACTAATATTATTGTATTTTGGACCAGTGATATTTCATTGTATTTCATTTTTTCTGATGAAGAACTAAGAAGTCAAAAATGCATGTATAAAATACAAATTTGAAGTGTAACATCAGTGCACAGACTCATTTAACATATTTAATTGCAATATATGGGCTGTTATTGTTGGTTTTAACATCTTTACACCAACACATAGGAAAGTCCGGGGCTAGTTGTCACATGAGGAAGGCTAGCATTCTTATGTGCTTTCGTCATTTTATTAATTTTTTTTAGTTAGTTAGTTTTTATTCATTTCCAGTGAATAATTTAGTCCTTCAACTCACACTTATTTCAGTTTATTGCAGAGGCAACATTTCTAATTTTCAATTAGTTTTAAGTTTTTCAACCAATATTTGTACATTTAAGGTGAGACACTACAGGCAAAAACATTGTGTTTTCATGCATCTGTCAATTTTTAGATTCATTTCCATAGTGTTTTTTCAGACTAGTGGAAAGAAAACATCCAAAATGCACTTTTAAGTGGATCTTTTATTTATACTGTAGCACTTCATATATGTGCGTCTGTAGATTTCAATTACACTGCATATCTTTAAAGGCCGTTTTCTCAAAATGAGTTTAAGTCAGAAATCTCCACTTCAGTTTATACACTCAACTTTACAGTTTTATTCCTATCTATATTCTGAAGGTTTTAACAGAGAGGTTTGTTCATATATAATGAGTGCAAATGAGTGCATATTTAATTAGATAATGCCTCGTTTGCATATTTAAACATACAAACAAACATTTCAGAAAACTTGTAATACAAAAAAAAAAGTTTGCAATTCTAACCAATCAACGTAGTAAGTATGATATGACAACTTGGCTTTTTTTTTTACCCTGGGGTGTCATTTCCATAAATTAACATAAATGTTTTTAATAGTTTTCGACAATGATAACCCTGGTTCTTCCAACTGTAATTATTTAAATGTTAACACTTCAGAGAACATTCAAAAGTAACGTTACCATAAAGTTTGCAAAATGGAATGGACTGTTTAGAGTAACTGGAGCAGTGGTTTTGTGTTTTTGGTTTCACAAATCTAGTTTAAAATTGAATATTTTTTGTGAATTGTGCCCTTCAAGTTCTTGTTTTTTTATTATTATATTTTTTAAACAAAGATTTAGTTTTTTTTAAATCAGCCCTTCAAACTAACATTCTATTTTCATTCTGTTTATGGAACATTTGTTGAACACGATAAAACCACACTTACTGTAGGCTATATTTTGTTTTGTTTTTTGTCCTCAAAACACATTTATATTTCATATAATTTGAGTCTATACAAAAGCTGACTTATATATATATTTTTTTTAAAAAGACCTTGAAACTTTCATTATATTAAAAACTGACAACTGTGTCCAATGACACAAACACTGATAAACAGACACAAACACGTGGTGTGTGTAGAACCCAACTTCCTCCCAGCTGGCACATTCACACCACAAATGTGGCTTTAATCGTAAACCCGAGTAATTAGACCACAGTAGATGAGATGTAGAGTGAATGTGAGGTCAGATCATACCTGCTGTTTATCTGAGCTCTCTTTCCCAACGGTGGACACTTTTGGAGCCGGAATCCTCTCGCAGGAGCATCCCTCCAGCAAGTAAATCCCAGATGGTCTGGTGCTCTGCTCGTTGTCAAAGTAGAACAGCACGTTCTGGTAAAGCGCGAAGTACTTCTCGTTCCAGCGGTTGTTTTCTGCGGCTTTTTTACTCAAGAACCCACGTTTAATTCCCTCTTTACGCGCGACCATGGATAGAAAGAGCGCGTGTCCTTCATTATAACGCACGCTTTTCTGCATCTTAAAGCCCTGATTGTCACACTGAGCCCATTATCATCATCATCCTCACACACAGCAGCCAGAGATGATGATCTAAAGTCCAGCCAAAAGCGCGTAAAGGAGATTCCAGACGCGCGCAACGCGTAATTACGCACAGCTGTATAAAAGAGTGCGCGTGTAGAAAAAAAAAGCGAAAATACAGTAAAAGAGTCAACAAATATTATTAAAAATATGGTTTAAACTGCGCGCAGGGACGTAAAACAAAAAATAGATAGAGTGAGCAGACGGTACAACAGAATCACGACCGAGATCAGCGCTAATCGGCTTTGACACCAACTTAAAGAGACAGAACTATTTACCCTCACAGTCTCTATTTACCTCACTGTCACGAGAGACTCCCTCGGGTATCTTTCTCACGTTTCCTGAAGTTAGTTTCAATCTTGTATCGGAAACCCTGCAGATGCTAGAACGAATGTAACTCTATTTTCCGAAGCATGAAAGAAAAATTGTGTAATTTTCCAAAGAGCGTTTTTTTATCTTTAAAATAAGTAGTGCTACTACACCGCTGTTGTGTTATATGTAGCCTGTGTTAAGTCAGCTGAGGTAAATAATACACGCTTTCCACTAAAATAATAACAAAAAACATGTTTTCCTATAATCTCTCACAAGGAGCGTTCGGAGGTCTGATTCAAAGTACCGAATCAGTTCGTTTAAAACGATTCACCAATTTGATTCGCTGCCCACATTTGCGTGTCATTTGTATCAAAATATTTAAATACTGCTGTTTTTTATTTATACAAATTAGTGTGTTCTCTCATTTTATTAGTTAGCTATCTAGTTAGTTATCTACTATTTAAACCTCTTCTTCTGAGCCAAAATTGAAACAGCATCAAACTCGGCTCAGACCTTCACACTGTTCTGACTCGGGTTGTTATGACTTTTCAAACTGATCTAACTTTTCCTAAAAAATAAGATTAAAAATCATAAAAAGCCCATACACTTTTATGGAGGGGATCTCAATCAAAGTCATAACAATCCCCTTATCCCCTAAAACTTTATTACAATAACTCTAGAGTTTTTAAGCTTCATCCACTATGTAATGGGAAATAATTGTAACACTGTAACTGTTTTTAATATGCTTTAAGACAAACCATGTGTAAATTCATAAGTCAACACTGAGTATTTTCTCCTTAAAACTGCAGTGAACCAAAAACAATCCAATCAGATCAACGTGTGATCGTCAACGAGTGGATCTCTGAGCTGCTGTGAGTGAGTGGAGGCGGGGCTCATTTGCATATTCATAGAACCGCGTATACTAAATGAGGCAAAGGTGTAGAGTTACATTCAAGCTATTTTAAGGCATGAAGATTTTTTTTCAAGCAAAAAATGGTTAAATATACCATTTTGGTGATCAAAGATGAGTTTTAAGGGATAAAATGATTGACTACAGGGGACTTTAAATTTAAAGTTGGATACACCACTGTACAAAATATTGTGAATTACGCCCCCTGGTGGCGAATGTGCAAAATCACCTACAACATGGGCTTTTGACTCCACTGACACATCACCTCTTGATAGAAGATCAGAGCACTATACACATACATATAAATAATATGATTATTTGGTGCCTGTGCTGTGCATAAATAATCTGACTAATTTTCACAAGAATTATTATTTATTTACTGAGCTAGTGATGCATTCTGGGATTGTCTTCTCTGTAAAGAATTAATTGTATGCCTCTTGTGATGCCTTTGAGTTGTGAATTACCTAACTGAGTTTTGGAATAGAGCCAATGTTTCATAAGAAGTCTGTGATCAGAAACTCATATTTCGTGAAAGCTTGTGCTCGTGAAAAAAAGGGAAAACTCACAACGCTTCTAATTTCATCTCCTCCTCCTGGCTGTATAGCTGACTTCACTCCTACAACGCTGTGAACTTGTGTCTCACGGAGGAAGAGCCCACGATACCAGACGCCCACCTGAACACAACCTCTGCAGGGCCCATCTGTAACAGAGCGGGAAACCACATTAAGAACATACCCAGCATGCTTTGAGACTTATTTGGGAACCTGCTGAAAGTGCACCATTACTATTTGCTGCTATTATTGCATATCCTCACAGCCAAAACTCTTAATCTTCTAACATATGGGTGTGTGTGACGCCGGTCACAAAGAGAAAATCCCTCCTAAACATCTCAACAAGCCTGAAATGCCGCAAAAAGCCTCTTGATCGGCAAAACAAGGATAAACTGCGCTTCATCCAGTACAGGACCAAAAGGTCAAAGGCAGAACTTGGACACTGTGTCAGATTGAGACGCCTCACTCATGATTTGACATATTCAGTGTAAGCCATCCATTACATCGGTCTTCTACGACGAGGCAAGGGAAAACATTTGGATGAGAAAATAATCGACAATACAAACAAATATTACAAACTCACTTTTTAAAGTGAGAGTGTAGGCCTAATATCTGAACTACATTTTTTAAGTGAGTTTGTGATATTTGAATACGCTATCTAACAATTAATTTTGAATAAAATAAAAAAACATTTCATAAACACAATGTGACATGATTTTAATAAATAACATGTTAATGTAAATTATTATACAAATAATAAAGGCCTGTTGGTTGCTTGTTGATGATATGTGGTCCATTAAACCCAAAATTATGTAAACATCAATTGGAACAGGAACATAAATATACATATTAGACATGAAAGAGGTTGAATGTAAGAAAAAATAACAAAAACACTCTTAAAAATAAAAGGTACCAAAATGTGGTTTTCATTTTTGGTTTGACAAAAAAAAACCTTTCAGTTCTTAAAATATATATATTTTTAGTTAAGATAAAGGATGGAAAGTTTCCATTAATGTTAAAGGTTCTTCCTGGAACCATCAATGACGACCATAAAGACCCTTTATTTTTAAGAGTGAACTTCTGAACATAAATCAAGCAGAGCCTATGCCTAATGTGTATGTTCTGTTTTGGGTATTTTATATATATGTATATGTATATGTATATGTATATATATATATATATATATATATATATATATATATATATAAAGCTCCAAATAGCCTTTCGGTCAGGGAATGCTTTGGCAAGGGCAACCCTGTGGGATTATGGGGGATTAGTGGTTTGTCTGTCAATCCCAAATATAGCAGCATATTCATAAATCTCAAAAACAGGGAGAGTGCGGCAATCTGTTTGTAGATGTTCTGTTTCTAAACAAATTTAAATGGAATGAAGAATCAAGATCAAAGATTTATGGATTTTGAAAAGGGCATTTTCAGGCCAGATGTTCACATACTGGGAACAAAAACATCAATTTTATTTGCACCACTAAACTGAAACTTCAACAACAGAGTGCAAAACATTAAATGAACACGAAAAATACATTTTGCTCTGCTACTTTTAGTGTTACTGTAAAACTATTTCTATTGCTTTGTATTGCCAAACACAGACTCTGTCAGCAACTGGGTTTCGGTTTCCTCCCAAGAATAAAATTAAAATAAAAGTATTTAAAAATTAAGGCATTATCATACATACAAATGTGTTAAAAACTGCTCATAGAGTGCCATCTGGTGGCATGTCTGAATCAATAGGTCACTTTAGTGGTGCTTGATAAACCAAGCATCATTAGTACAATTGCTCATACTTATCTAAAAATCATAGAGACTTGAGATCAACCACCTAACATATTATCAATCACACTATCAACAGCATAGTAGCAACGTCCTAAACCCTCAGAACACACTAGCAACTGCATACTGTAGTATATTGTGTAATGGATTGCACATGTATAATTTTGTACATCATCTGGGGGAAAAAAAATCAATCTGAGCAGACATTGCCGACTGTTAATAGAGGAAAAGCATCACTAAATGTCACTCAGTTTACTGGAAGAAAAAAAAGAAGTTGCACCTGATGTTCTTGAGTAGTTGCTATGACGATGGCTAAACAATTAGACTGTCCGCTGTGAAGCAGGTTCATGGTTTCTACTAACAGCAGACACATGTACAATGTTACAGTTCTTTGCGTGAAAAACACTCTATAGAATTCTATTCCGAACACAGCCAGTAGGCCCAGTACACACACACACACACACACACACACACACACACACACACACACACACACACACAATGCTTATATACACTCACCTAAAGGATTATTAGGAACACCACACTAATACTGTGTTTGACCCCCTTTCGCCTTCAGAACTGCCTTAATTCTACGTGGCATTAATTCAACAAGGTGCTGAAAGCATTCTTTAGAAATGTTGGCCCATATTGATAGGATAGCATCTTGCAGTTGATGGAGATTTGTGGGATGCACATCCAGGGTACGAAGCTCCCGTTCCACCACATCCCAAAGATGCTCTATTGGGTTGAGATCTGGTGACTGTGGGGGCCATTTTAGTACAGTGAACTCATTGTCATGTTCAAGAAACCAATTTGAAATGATTCGAGCTTTGTGACATGGTGCATTATCCTGCTGGAAGTAGCCATCAGAGGATGGGTACATGGTGGCCATAAAGGGATGGACATGGTCAGAAACAATGCTCAGGTAGGCCGTGGCATTTAAACGATGCCCAATTGGCACTAAGGGGCCTAAAGTGTGCCAAGAAAACATCCCCCACACCATTACACCACCACCACCAGCCTGCACAGTGGTAACAAGGCATGATGGATCCATGTTCTCATTCTGTTTACGCCAAATTCTGACTCTACCATCTGAATGTATCAACAGAAATCGAGACTCATCAGACCAGGCAACATTTTTCCAGTCTTCAACTGTCCAATTTTGGTGAGCTCTTGCAAATTGTAGCCTCTTTTTCCTCTTTGTAGTGGAGATGAGTGGTACCCGGTGGGGTCTTCTGCTGTTGTAGCCCATCCGCCTCTAGGTTGTGCGTGTTGTGGCTTCACAAATGCTTTGCTGCATACCTCGGTTGTAACGAGTGGTTATTTCAGTCAAAGTTGCTCTTCTATCAGCTTGAATCAGTCGGCCCATTCTCCTCTGACCTCTAGCATCAACAAGGCATTTTCGCCCACAGGACTGCCGCATACTGGATGTTTTTCCCTTTTCACACCATTCTTTGTAAACCCTAGAAATGGTTGTGCGTGAAAATCCCAGTAACTGAGCAGATTGTGAAATACTCAGAACGGCCCGTCTGGCAACAACAACCATGCCACGCTCAAAATTGCTTAAATCCCCTTTCTTTCCCATTCTGACATTCAGTTTGGAGTTCAGGAGATTGTCTTGACCAGGACCACACCCCTAAATGCATTGAAGCAACTGCCATGATTGGTTGATTAGATAATTGCATTAATGAGAAATTGAACAGGTGTTCCTAATAATCCTTTAGGTGAGTGTATAGTATACATGCATACACACTCATACATATACTCAAG